AAAAAATCACACACAAACTAGTATATCGACCCTTTTCTATTTGTATGAAAGCCAGAAAAAACAAAACCATTTGGTCTATTATCTCATGGATCTCATAGATTAGATCTCATATATTATATCTGCATAATTACAAAACACATACACTAAAAAGTGTGAAATAAAACAAAAGCGGTAAATGATTATAGAATTCATTGTTCTTTATACTCATATGCGATATTCAAGATGCATTTTTGATGAAATTTTTTATCTGGAGGAATAGTATGGACTTTATTAACCTGTCAAACTATTTTGCGCTTAATAATTTCTTATGCAAAGCTATTCCGAATTGCAATTTCATCCTGTCAAAAATTGACCAAGCTTACTTTATTTTTTATTTTAATAATTTATTAGAGCATTTTAATCGGATAAGAGCTGCTCTTTGACGTTTCAAATAAATTATGACTGTTTCTTATCTATCCATTAACCCCTCAATGTTTGATAACCTTCCACAAAGCCATTAATTGAAACAAAAAGGACTGTTTGTTATTTGCTTTCACGGTGGGCCTAATCGTGACAATTTTTAAACTTTAAATTTTAATTTCTTTTGAAACTCAAAAACACTTTTGGATTAATTATGTTTTTTAAAAGTAAAATCGCGGAAAATTAACAGAATGAAAGAAAAAATTGGTATGATAATCTATAATCGATCGCAGAGTTGTTGAACTTAATATTGAACAAATCCGCCTCTTAATTATGCGCATGAAAACCCCTGCATGCTCTAGTTCGTAATGTACATATCATCTTTTTGCCGATCAATTATAAATAATACATACAAGATGTTGTACACATCGGAAGAGACCCAATTAAACATACATAGTCAAAAACGCAGATACACAATAAGGAACCACAAAACAATCAATAACACATAAGGCTCGCCACGTTTGATGTCAAAAACTTATTATTCTTGTTACGCACGCGCTCGATAAAGTGGTATGAAAGTAATGTTGCAGAGAGCAAAGCCTGTAGTGATTTATTGATACACGCGTATATATATTGCTCGTCGTAATTCAAAATTTTTGCGTCATAGTTCCCACAAATAGATGCAATGATTAAGCACGGGATTATAAAAGTTTGCTGAAATCATATGCTGTTTATTAAATCGATTACACTTGGAAAAATTGATTCAATTGTTTCTTGAAATCTGTCACGTTACATAGAATCAATAATCATAAGTTTTCACGTGAAAAAAAAATATATATATATGCAACCATTAGAGGTATTATTGCAGATTTCATTGTTTTGACAATACCATGATTTACATTAAAAATAGTTCGAAAGACATAAAAAGTGCATATCAAACTAGTTCGAAAGACATAAATAGCACAAATCGATGGAGAAAGTGTTCTGATTGCATATATTTGAAAGTAGTATTCCATAGATGGTGATAATTTTAAATTTTATTTCTCAACTTGCCAAAACGGGAGATATTATTAGCATGTGTTTTATTCAAGTATTACATTTTAAATTTAGAAATTGCATTAAATGTCTACCTGGTTAAAGAACTGTGGTTTGTAGATAAAAAACTCGGCAAACAAGTAATTCAATATGTCCGAATTTCAAGTAAAAAAATATCTACTGAAAAAAGCCAAACGATCGGCCGAATTCGACTGATCACTCAAAGTCCGTCAAATCTTTTAGCCGCCCTCTCTCTATATATACTCTGGATCAAACATCGAGAGGCATTCTCAAATGGAAAAAAAAACTAGTGTTTTCCAATAGCAAACTTGATGTATAATTCACCGCCACTTTACTTTCTTTAATTTAAGGCGTTATGATAAACTTTGAATTAGAAAAAGGCCAAAGTTTTCTCGCGTTATATATCAACACTTGTCTTCGACAAAATCCTTACAACATAAATTTGGCTCAAAAATCATACAAATTTGCGACTTTTCGCAGAAAAATGATTTATCGATTAACTTGCTTCCTCGGACAAATCAATCAATTACACAGCTTTAATTTGCATTTTTAAAGTTCAAATTGATTCCGCACTATCTACAAAGACAATTGATCATAGATATTTTCCTTCAAGCCGAAGTCCGTTTTTTATGACTTTTCCAACTCGGTTTTATTATAAATTTTCGCGTCAATTGGACCTGATTTGTCTCCTTTACCTTTACTTTTTATATTAACTTTTACTTTTTATCTACATACATATTATTTATTTTTTATTCTATCGTTACTTGGAGAACATGTAATAGTATTTTCTGTTATATGTCATCCAAAATAAGCTTCTTTCGAAAAATATATCGATATAATATAGCGCACAAGATCATAAGAGATACACAAAAAATAACACAGAGAGCAATCACACGAAAAAGAAAAAGCAATCATGTCCCTTTATTAGTATTTTGCATTTGTACTTAGAAAATCATATTTACGCACAGATTTGTATAGAAACAAGCAAGAATACATGGAGAAGTATTTAATTTTTAATAAAGATTCAAGAGAGGTTACTTTTATTTGATCAATGCTTCGAATGGAAGACATGTAATGTTATGGACACCAACTAATAAACAAAAAAGCACTTCATTTCTGCTACGACATTCGATTTATCGAGGTCCAGAAGTTTTACTCTCGTTTAGTAGCATGATAACCAAGCACTAATCTCTATTACCACGAATCACTATTATAAAAAAGGCAAAAAAATTCGAAAATCCATAATAATAAGTACAGTAAAAAAACAGGTAAATTCTAAATAACAATTGGAGATTTTTTTAATAAAGAATTGCAAGATTAATAATACGCAATCAAAACAAATTGCATGTAACTGTAAAATTGATCAAGTTTCCAAGTTGGCTTCGAATACATGCATTATGATGCTTAATGATTCCTGCTTTAAACCATTGGTTAACTTTCTATAAATAAATAAATAAAAATGACTCCCGAAACTAAATTTCAAATTCTCTTGCAGCACTTGTCGACTGTTTCTAGAACACTAAATGAAACCTCATTAAAAACCAATGGGTAACAGGCGAATTGAAATTTGTATCGATATCTTTCTTTAATTAAGCTTTCTTTGTTGTCTAATTGAGTTGCCAATAGGTCCCTTAACGCATGACTGGTCCTATCATTTAAATAATTTACATACGTAACTGTGCGTATGGCTTAGATATTTTTAAATACATCCATTTAAAAACATTAAGACTAACGGAGCAATTAATGTTTTTGATGTTATTACATACGTACGTTGATCAGGATGCATGCCGTCTTTTTGATTACGTAACGATAAACGGAGATAATAATATAAACTCACAAAACGATAACCTGTTTTAGTCTCTTCCCAATAAGTTACGTAATTAACATGTTTGAAAGCGGATTACTTTAATAATTTAGTCGCGAATTACGTCACTAACATAAATAATTCTAGACTCGACTAATTTTGGGTTTTTAAAAAACGGTTAGCTGACATAATTTTACTTTCATTATTTATAAACACAATGCTGAACAGCTGAACATAAATATTTATATAAAGTGTCAACTTAAAATACGATTAATCATGGATTCTAGACTATCGTTATTACATGTATGTCGCACCATAGAAATTTTAATATTCCAATACCAATCAAATAAATTAATAACGTGATCTACTGTGATATACAGCCAATCTAACCCCCCAGGACACAGAATTTTTGTGATCAAATTTTGATAAAACACAAATTTCTTGCTTCACCAAAAGTTTTATTAAAACGCGAGAATAGGAGATATCGGAGACAGAGTTTGCGCAAAGTATTTCGTAAAGAATATCATGCGTCCACTCGTACCACCAATTTACAACAATAAGAACAAAACTGCAACAGTCCAAATACACTCACAATCAAAATCTGAATTTTTATTGGGCTTAAGTAATGTCTTAAGTCCAATGGTCCAAATGGAGCTGTTTTTAAAGTTCAAATAGTCCTATTGACAGCCCTGCTCAATGATAATACAGGCCTTCAAATCCAGGAATAATGCGCGTGTCAAACCAAATATGGTAAAAAATGATATCGAAGCAAATCGAAATCTTCATTCATACAGAAAACAATATTTTATAAGATGCCTAGTGAAATTTAATCGGTTTAAAGAATTATCATCTCAATAGTGATGAATCAATTTAATAGTTTTACGGATGGTCAAGTTTTATTTGGGATCACATGATTCGTGCATATAAAAATCACCTGATTTCTGTCAGGTTTCTTCTCTAAATTAAGGTGAATCACAACTTTTCCCATTCCATTTAGTGAATCACCTCCAAAACTGTTTAAAAGCAGTAAAAACCCTACCGAACTCCTAGACGATAATTTTTTTTCGGATTTTTCTGTTGTGTTGTAACATGCTCTTCACAAGCCGAATTTCGTTAAACCGAACTGATTTAGCATAGCTGCCTTTGAAATTCCACAAAGACCATTTTGTGCAATGCTAGTGATACAGGCAACCTTATTATTTTTCAAATGTAAAAGACATTTTTTCAGAATATCCGGCGTAACAATGATTAACACAGGTAAAAGGGGTAAGGTTTACCAAAGTTTTATAATGGTGAAACTTTAAATAATTCAAACTTATTCTAAACTTAAATTAAACCATATTAAAACTAATATAAACTTGAAGTTCATCTCGAATAAACCTGAATAGGATGTAAACGCGTTAGTTTATCACAAGGTTGACACGTATTAAACCTTTGATAAACATAACCCCTTTTACCTGTGTAAAGTATAACATGTGTTCTTTGAGAAGAAAAAGAATAAAGTTTCGTGTAAAAAGTTTAACAATAGAGTCATCTTTAATTTTAAAACAAGAGTTTTGAGGCTTACTAAAATGCGAGTCTAAACCAGCTTTCATCGTCTCGCCATTGGTTGAAAACAATTTCATGCAATTTGGACAATTCTATCATCCATTAGAGACCGCATAGTCAAGTTTAGGCAACTCTCCTTCTCTTAGGTGGTTGGCTACTTTCGCGAGATCGTTGTCGTCACCAACATAGGAAGTTATTTTGATATCCTTGGATTTAATGCGGAGGTGATTTTGCCCAAAGACGATTGAGATCGGGAAGTAGTGGCACCTATTTAAAATTTATATGTTATATTGCTTTCTTTTGAGAGAATAGATTGAATGAATGTTTAAATGTTCGCTTATAGTAAGTAACATACCTTGTTCGAGAAATGCAGGAACCGCACCAGAGTCAATATTACCAATATCACCAGTAAAAAGTGTAATTTGTCCAACAAAACCATAATGAACTTTCATTTTTTTGTCTTCTCGGAGATTATCAAAAAAAACGTGCAGTTAGTAAGTATTTACAGTCTTACGGAAAGTAATAGCAGTCTGTTTTTTTAAAAAAAAAAGAAAAATATTATTTTTGGAATGCCCGAGTGCCATTTGACATGCTGTTTCAATTATTTCATTTTATAAAATAATGTATATAGTTTCTAATACAATTCTTTAAGCCAGACATTCTTTCTTGGAGAAGTCGTTATCTCGGTAAAAATTTCGCGTAATCATGATCAATTCTGTGTCACGATAACCAATCCCGAAATGTATCTATATACAGTCTTTTTTAGAAAAAGACCACCGAAATCCCGCTCTTGATACACCTCCATGATCGATAGAAAATTCTAAATGTTCTTAATTCACCTCATGGTCGACAAAAATTTCTAATTTTAAATTCCATACCTTGTCATACCGAAGCTGTGTCGATCTCGACACAGCAACCCAGTGTTGTCGCTTGGACGTGAATCCAGCAATTTGATTGGTTGGGACAAGTGCTGGATTTACGTCCAAGTGACAACACGCAACCAATAAAGATGCGAAATTTTTTAATCAGCCCGGCAAAACAAATCCGTCACAAGAAAATGAAAAAATCAACCTTTAAAATTACAGTAGAATTTTCCGGAATCGACAAATAGTCAAAGAACAGGACTTTAAACTTTAAAGTTATCCGGGGGGACTATCACTTCTCGTAAATTCGAATTTCTATTATCTAAAAAGATATTACTGTTCAAACCTTCGAAACCTATGATAAACACTGATTTATACCATCTTTGGAATTATGCCGGCAACATTAGAAAAGAATGAAGCCGAGTGATTTGTAACGTTAATTATTCGATGATATTTTGATTACGTATCGGTATGGGTAGTAAAAGGTATATCGTATTCTGTTGTGAATAGCACTATCCTATTTCAACCAAAAAAAAATAAGCACCACCAGTGTGGAAAATTCAATGATCTCAGCGTTCTCCGAATTCTAGATTACACTCATATGAAGAAAATCTATATGGATTGTTTGCAATTTAAATTTTCGACACTGAGCACCAACCACTACGTTTAAACTACAAAAATATATCTAAATGATGATAATTTTGAATCGCGAGGAAATGAGCACCACCACGTTTTCCAGAGCCCAAAAAGTGGAGCTTATTCACAGCAGAATGGGTTTTCTATTCATTTTTTATTGTCATTAAAAAATAAATTTCTGTGTATACCACGGACTAAGAAAGAAAATTTAAAACATAATTTAACAAATGCGTAATTACAAAAAAAGAAAGTTTCCATCTATAGCTGGATAGAATAGCAGCGACCGCTTTTTACATTATGCCACATAGTCAATAGCGATGACGGTGATATTAATATTAATTGATGGATTGTCACCTATTTTATAAGTCTGGTTCCAGTTTAGTTTCAGCAAAATCTGATTCGGAGCTGAATTGAACCTAACCAATGAAACTAGGTATGGACAATAGCGATAATACACACGAAAATTAACTTTTTAGAAATTTTATTTCCGTGACTATTAGTTTGGACAAAATAAAAAGTGTTTATTTGAAACCTCAGTTAGTAAATTTCTCACATTGAAGAACTTCTTTTCTATGACGGATTCAAATTTGAACCACTAATTAAAAATGTTTTACTCTAATTATTTACCAATTTTCATAAAAATCAGTTTAATTTATATAGATATTTAAAATATGAAACGAGTTATCTCGTTACACATCTTAACGTGCGGTAATCTCACAAAAACAATTGCTTCGTTATTTTTTGAATCATTTTTGTAATTATATTTTTTAATTAAAAAAAAATGGAAACACATTCCTGTCAAATTGCAATATACAGACCTGGAAGATTAGGGCACGGAAATTTACCGAACCGTTATTTTACCGAGATTTTCGGTAACGGTTCGGTAATTATCGACATCTTCTAATTACCGACAGTAATTCGGTAAACTTCGGTAATTGTGATATAAAATATAATTCGCGAGATTTGAACGTAAAATCGACCATAATGTCAAGTTTTAACACACTAACTGCTATTAATTAAAAATATTGGTTAGGTTCTATTCTGCGCATAGGTAAAGTTTCATAAATTTTTGCACATTGCTTCACGAGATATTATCCGAAACGCAAATAAATCGCTTAAATGCGTTGTAGCAATTTATTTACGTTTCGCATAATATCTCGTGACGCAATGTGCAAAATTTTATATATTTTTAAATTATTAGCATTTAGTATGTTAAAACTTGACATTATGGTCAATTTTACTTCAATTTCACGAATGATATTTTCAAACCCTTGATTAATCAATGATTAACGTTAACGTTAACGTTAATCAGTGTATTGATTCATTGATCAACATTTTGGTAAACCGTCGGTAATTACCGTTACCGATCAGTAATTATTCGAAACAAGTGTTTCGAATAGTTTACCGAAATTTACCGAACCGTTCGGAGCCCTATGGGAGATATCACAACCAGCGAAATGGTAACTTGAATGAAAACTTGAATAATAGTGCAAATAAACAATAAAGACAGAAGTCATGACGAACAGTTGACGACGAATCCACCAGGGCGACCCCCAAAAGTTCGGGCCACGTGATAATTTTTGATTATGTCAGCGATGATGACCAATTAAATTGCAAGTTCAACGTGTAACACAAAATTCAAAAATAAACAAAACAAAGGCATATTTTGAAAAAAAGCTTGTATCTCAAAATCCAGCCTATGAAACTATCTAATAAAAAAATGTTCCTTGCGAAATTTTACTATAAGTACATTTTTTGTTTGCCAAATAACCCCTTTTCGCATCGTTGACGTCATCAAAAAATTATCACGTGGCTCGAACTTTTGGTAACGACAACCTCATTAAACGCGGAAAACAATCCACATAGTTTTCAATGATTTATTTGAATTTACTCCTCCATATTTTCCTTATTATTTTATATAACATAAACACATTTCTCCACATTCAAATGTCATAAAAAAGAGGAGATTTAGATCATAATAACGAAAATAAAAAAATGAGAAGCAAAGAAAAATATCGCATATTTTCATTGCTAATAAACAATGAGAAAAATATAATATTCTTTCTTAGATGAATTTCCCCCGACTCTTAAGACACATACTAGCACGATATTTTTCTGAATCAAGACTATTACGAGTAGAACTAATGGTATGCTTTGTGATAGAAAACATTTGCTCACTTGGAACACTTGTTGCTTGCGCCACAAGATAATCACGAGCCATTTTTGTAAGCACCTGGTATCGTGGATTGGTGGCACACATTTTCTAGTATGCCAGTCTTCTTGTAAGTTCAAATATATCATTACTTCGATTCGCAATAGAATATGAACGCTTAAGATGCTTTTAAAATAGGGACGAGATGAAAGTTTGAGTCAATTGTTGCTTGAATTGGTATATTATCAGTTCCAGAATAGGTATCATATACTTTACGAATCAAATTACGCGCTTCTTTTTCATCGGATTTGAGTTGAAATGTTGTCAATTTTGTATTGGGATTAAGAATTACTGGAACATGAAAATAACCTCGCAATATTCCTTAAGTTTTTTATTCATTTCATATGCAATATAACTTATAGTTATATTTTGTTTGTCATCGAATATTTCATCGAGTATTTCACCAAATACTTCGTCAAGAAATTATCACCACAAACGCTGTATATAAATCACTGAGAGTAGGATAAGTTGAAGCTGAAAGAAGTTTTGTTGCTACATAAATCAGTTCCAATAGGGTTACAATCATCTATAAGAAAATGGTTATTAATTTTTGTGTCATAATTTTTTGCGTCATAAATTTTCATTAAATTATATAAGCACTTACATTCATTGCTTCCTAGTATGATTATTTTAAATTATGATTAGATGTTACAAGAATATCTGTTAGTTCACAAATTCTATGAAGTTTTTTAATTATAAGAACTGTACTGTTCCATCATGTTTCAACATCAAGGTCTGGTACAAGAAATAATCGATTCTTCATAAAAGATTGTGATTTGCAAATATAACTTGCAAAGCTTCATGCTTTGACAATAGCATTATTAACAGATTTTATGCTTATCATTACAACCAAATTCAAATATGTGCAGTGCAACATATATATTAAAAATCACAATTAATAAAATTATTTATTGAACTTTTTGCAAAGTGTTGAGCAAAAAAGTTCATATTACTTGTATTTTTTATTGTTGCAGAAATATATTTCAAAATAATTAATTGTTTCAAAAAGTTTATTAATAATATTTTTATCTATATGATATTTATAAAAATATATTAAATTTGATAAAACTCAATATACACATTATTTATCATTTAATTCAAGAAAAATTATTAATAAATATGTGAGATTAGTATATGTAATTCAGATATTAGTTGTAATTGCTACTTTTTAATCAAGTTTACTTAAAATTATTTCATTATATTAAATAATTCTTTCTATTATTGATACCTAATCTAATATTTTTAATATATTGATATTTTATATCATGTATCTAATATAATAAATCTTTATTTTCAAAAGTAATATTATTGTATAATAGTTTAAATAATAAGACAACTATTTGTAAAAAGTCTTTGACAAACTTTTGATAGTATTCAGCTAATTCAAAAAATGATTTAAATTCTTTTATTATACAAAATTGTAAAAATTTAATAATCTTTTGTATAGTTAATAAGTTAGATAAGATGTCATTTTTGTTGATTACATATTCTAAAAAAAATAATTCTTTTTAAATAAAATTGCATTTGGCTTTGTTGAATTTTAGTTTAACTTTTTTTATTTATTAAAATACTACTATATAATAAATTTTGATTAAATATTTTACTGAATTATCTATACTTAATATTATTGAATTATAAATATCTTATATCTTATTGAAAGAATCTAATTATTGAGATAAGCAAATAAATAAATGAGTAAATAAACAAATAAGTAAATAAACAAATAAATAAATAAATAAGC